TGTGTTTCCCTCTCCCCGCCTCCCCTCCTAGGTGCAGGAGAACATCGAGCGGTTCTTCACGCGGTTCGTGGAGGAGGGCAAGGCCACCGTGCGCCTCCGGGAGCCCGCCGTGGACGTTTGCCTCAGCAAGGTGCGTTGGGGCCGCGGAGGGACACGCGGAATGGCGGTAAGGGATCGGGGCCGTGCTGGGAACGGAGCCCTGGGTGCTATCGTGAGGTGTTGGGGGTGGGAAGGGGCCTCTGGAGATCATCTCATCCAACCCCCCTGCTCCAGCAGCTCATCCACAGCAGGGTGCCCAGGATGGTGTCCAGGTGGGTTTGGAATCTCTCCAGAGCAGGAGACTCCACAGCCTCTCTGGGCAGCTGCTCCAGGCTCTGCACCCTCACAGCAGTGCAGTTTCTCCTCCTGTTGAGATGGAACCTCCTGGGTTCCAGTTTGTGCCCATTGCCCCTTGTCCTGTCGCTGGGCACCACTGAAAATCAGAGTCTGGCCCCAGCCTCTTGCCCCCAGGGGCCCTTTAGCTCTTCCTCAGCATTGATCAGATCCCCTCTGAGTCTTCTCTTCTCCAGCTGAACAGCCCCAGGGCTCTCAGCCTGTCCTGGCACAGAGATGCTCCAGCCCCTCAGCATCTTTGTAGCCTCTGTCAGACTCTCTCCAGTAGTTCTTTGTCTCTCTTGAACTGGTGAGCCCAAAACTGGACACAGTGCTGCAGAGGTGGCCTCACCAAGGCAGAGTAGGGGGCAGGAGAACCTCCCCTGACCTGCTGGTCACACTCTTTTTCATACACCCCAGAAGACCCTTCTTGGCCATGAGGACCCATTGCTGGCTTGTGGGGAACTTGTCCCCCAGCTCTCCCAGGTCCTTCTCCACAGAGCTGCTTCCCAGCAGGTCATCCCTCACCTGTACTGCTGCAGGGGGTTATCCCTCCCCAGGGGCAAGAATTTCTCTCCTGGCAGAGTGGTGAGGCATTGGCCCAGGCTGCCCAGGGAGGTGCTGGAGTCCCCATCCCTGGAGGGGCTCAAAAAACATGTAGATGTGGCACTTGGGTACATGGTTTAGTGCTCATGGGAGTGTAGGGTTGATGGTTGGACTCGATGATCTGAGAGGTCTTATCCAACCTTAATGCTTCTCCAGTGTTTCTGCTGGTCTTCAGGATCTCATTACAGGTTTTTAACTCTCAAAGACAGACAGAAGCTCTGTAGAAGGAGATTTCCAGGCATGACTCTCAGGGGGCAGAACCTTCCCCTGGCACCCTGCCAGGCTGCCTTCAGCCACCTCACAAGAGGAGTTGAGAAACATCAGTCTGGAGCATTCAACCCTGGAGCCAAAATAACAGAACCACTGTGGGGTTGGCTTTTCCTTCTGCAAGCCTGTGCCTGCTGCACTGCACACAGGCTCTGAGGTCCAGGAAGTCTCTGGTCACCTCCTCATCAGTCATTTCCTTCTGCAACAAGGGGCTTGTCAGGCATCAGCGTGGATTAACCTCTTTCCCCAACATCTCTGTGGTTGAGAATTCAGATTTTGGGGCACAAAATTGTGTCCTGAGCTCTTCCAACTAATTCTTTGCTTTTTTGCTTAGAGGGGGCTTAGTTGTTGGGGTTGTTTTTCGACACACTCCAGGTTTCTCAGCAGCAGGGTTTACAGATAATCCATCATCTGTACAGAGGTGTTGTGGGGAAATTTGTCCCAAGGATCCAGAACACAAAGTACTTTAACTTTGAAGTTACATGAACAACCCATAAACTTGCTCTTATCAACCTAGAGATTTTGGCCTCAAAAAACAGGCCCCAGTTGCCTCTTCTGTGTTGAGACCAAGGCAATACTACCTGTAACTTAACATATAGTTCCATATTTTACTTGATCTTCACAGATCTGGAGGACTTCTCCTTACTTCCACATTTAATCAGCTGTTTAGGACCCTCTGAGAGGTGACAAATCTGCCTCTCCATGTTTTTTATTTGAGAATCCACGTTACAGCTCTGTGCCTGTCAGCTTGAGCAGAGGAATTTAGAGGAGAAATATTTGGTCTCCTGTTTGTGGCAGTTAATTACATCAGTGCAACAAATATATCACAGCTTTCTTGATCTTTATGTAAAATACAGGTCATCTGCTGCTCCAGTGATTGGACTTCTCCCCTCTGCTTTCCTCCTCTCCCACCTGAAGTAAAATTGGTTCAGTTGTGCAGAAGGACTGCAAATAATTATTTATCCTGTTGTGTTTGATGCTGGCACAACCAGAGCTGGTGTGAGCAGCACTCGTTTCACCTGCCTCGAAGCACTCCACCTTCTTTTATGTTGAATTTAACCTCAGCTTCCATCCTTTTCCCTCCTGGCAGCTTCCAGCAGTGATCACCTCCCCTTTCAGATCTCCAGTTTTCCCCCTGTGTTTTCATCCTCTGTCCCTTGCTCGTGTTCCCATTAGGAAGGTCACCCCCCATCAGGGTTTTTCTCTCCACTGTATTCCCAGCTGTGAATTGGGGGCTTTGTTCCTTTTCTGAGCAGCACAGCACAGTCTGTTCCATCTGGATGATTCAGAGAGGTCCCAACATCTCATTCAGCTCCCGTGCTGCTCGTCCTTCACTGCTGTAAACAGCCCAATGAGCCTCTAGAGTCAGTTCTCTTTCCCATTTCACTGAACAGCTCCTGATACAGGTGCAAAATAGCTCTGAAAGTGTGAGGACACGTTTTTCACCCCCCCTTTGTGCTTATTTTAGGCTGATGCCAGCAGTCTGAAGAGTTTCCTCTCAGCAGTGAGACTGGCTCACCAGGGTGCCGAGGCAGGAGCCCTCCCCCTCTCGGCACTGGTGCCGGCCAAGACCTCAGAGGTTGAAAAACCCAAGACAAAGATGATCATCACTTCCAGGAGGGACTATCCCCTCACCAAAAACTTCCCTCACTCCCTCGAGCACCTCCAAGCCTCCTACTGCAAACTGGCTCGGATCGACACCCGCGTGCTGGGCTTGAGGAAGCTGAGGAAGCTCGACCTGAGCCACAATCACATCAAGCAGCTGCCAGCCACAATTGGGGACCTGATGTGTCTTCAGGAGCTGAATCTGCACGACAATCACCTGGAGTCCTTCAGCGGGGCTCTGTGCAGCTCCACCCTTCAGAAATCCCTTCAGTTTCTGGACCTCAGCCAAAACAAAATCAAAGCCCTCCCCATTCAGTTCTGCCAGCTCCGAGAACTGGTTAATTTGAAGCTGGATGACAATGAGCTGATTAGGTTGCCCTTCAAGATTGGGCAGTTACATCAGCTACGCTTCCTGTCAGCAGCCCGAAACAAGCTTCCTTTCTTGCCCAGTGATTTTAGGAAGCTCAGTCTTGAGAACTTGGATCTCTTTGGAAATCCTTTTGAACAGCCCAATCCGCTCGTTCCCAACATACAGCTGAAAATACCACTGACTTTGTTAGAGTGTGCTGCAAGGGCAACCCTGAACTACAGGTAAGAGGAGCACGGTGGGGACACGTTGCACCTGCTCTGTGTCAGACCTGGCAGGTTGGTGCCACGGGCCCTATTTTGTGTGGGGCTCTACCTTGGAAATTGCTTTCCAGCGTGGTTGGCCTTCATCTTGTGCTCGACCATGCTCAGACTCTGTCTCCTCCCCATTGCCCTGGCACTGCCCCTGCCCGTGTGACAATGGCCTGTTGGCAGAAGGTGACCTCTGAGCATACAGCTCCGAGTTACAAGGATCTGCCACTGCCTGGGGTGATGGGACCTTACACAGGCTAAGTTACTTCAGTCCCCTGCAGTGCTCCAGGGTGGGGGAAGAGTGGCAGGAAACTGCCTGGCAGAAAAGTTCCTGGGCGTGCTGGTGGCCAGCTGGCTGGAGATGAGCCAGTGTGTGCCCAGGTGGCCAAGAAGGCCACCAGCAGCCTGGCCTGGATCAGCACTAGTGTGGCCAGCAGGACTAGGGCAGGGATCATGCCCCTGGACTGAGCACTGGGGAGGCCACACCTTGAATCCTGGGGTCATTTTTGGGTCACTCACTCCAAGAAGGACCTTGAGGGGCTGGAGCATGGCCAGAGAAGGGCAATGAAGCTGGGGAAGGGTCTAGAGCCCAAGTGTGGTGAGGAGCAGCTGAGGGAGCTGGGGGTGCTGAGCCTGGAGCAAAGGAGGCTCAGGGGAGACCTTCTGGCTCTGCACAGCTCCTGACAGGAGCCTGGAGCCAGCTGGGGGTCAGGCTCTGCTCCCAAGGGACAAGGGACAGGACAAGAGGAAATGGCCTCAACTTGCCCCAGGGGATGCTGAGGTTGGACATTAGAAGAAATTTCTTCCCCTGGAGGGTTGCCCAGGGCTGTGCCAGGCTGCCCAGGGCAGTGGTGGAGTCCCCACCCCTGGACATGTTTAAAACTTGTGTAGTTGTGGTGCTGAGGCAAATGGTTTAGTGGTGGACTTTAGAGTTAGATTAATGGTTGGACTTGATCTTAAAGGTCTTTTCCAACCTCAATGATTCTCTGATACCATGAGGTGGCTCCTCAGAGGGCCAGTGTCACGCTGGAGTTGACCTTACCTGCTGCAGGCTTCTCCCTGCCCCAGCTCTTCCTTGGGCAGTTCTGTCCCTCGGTGTTGAGTGAGGGTGTTGTGTCCAGTGCAGAGACCAGTTGTGAGGTAATTTATGAATTATTTCCCCAAGGGAACCTCATCCTCTCCAGGCTGCTGATTTTTGGCAGTTTTCTGGCCTTCCCCTGCCTGCGTGCCACCCCCTGTGGTCCTTCCAGAACCAGCTGCTGCCAGTCCCACCCTGTTCTGGGTGGAAAAGGGGGCAAGGAGGTGGAAAATAGTCACAGGTGGAGCCAGGAGCTGAGAGACAGCCTGGAAGCCTTCCTGACCCACCTCCTGTGCCCGTTCCTGCCTGGGGGCCAGGGAGTGCCCCACAGCCCTGGGCTCACTGCTGAAGGTGTCCACAGCACGTGGGGCACGCCCTGGGTGGAGCTGAGCAGCCCCACGGGCTGGTTCAGACCTTACCTGCCTCTGACCTGCCTGGTTTCATTAATCAAACTCCACGTGTCTGCTTCCCCAGCTTCACAGAGTTTGTAGTGGCTCTGACAGAAATCCTGTGAAGGTGTGGGGTTCTTTTCTAGAGAGTATGGAGGGGTTCCTCAGCACCAGCCAGATTTTGGTGCTCAGTTACCTTGCCAGAGTTCTCTTTAATCTCTTTATCAGTGATCTGGATGAGGGGTTCAGGGGCACCCTCAGGCAGTCTGCAGCTGACAGCAAGTTGCATGGGAGTGTTGATCTGCTGGAGGCTCAGGAGGCTCCTCCTCAGGGATCACCCCCCATGTCCTCAGCACTGGGGAGGCCACACACTGGGGTCAGGTTTTGGGCCCCTCACTCTCAGAAGGACCTTGAGGGGCTGGAGCGTGGCCAGAGAAGGGCAACGAAGCTGGGGAAGGGTCTAGAGCCCAAGTGTGGGGAGGAGCAGCTGAGGGAGCTGGGGGTGCTGAGCCTGGAGCAAAGGAGGCTCAGGGGAGACCTTCTGGCTCTGCACAGCTCCTGACAGGAGCCTGGAGCCAGGTGGGGGTTGGTCTCTTCTCCCAGGGAACCATCGATAGGATGAGAGGCAATGGGCTGAAGTTGCCCCAGGGGAGGATTCAGTTGGATCTGAGGAGGAATTTCTCTCCTGGCAGAGTGGTGAGGCCTTGGCCCAGGCTACCCAGGGAGGGGCTGGAGTCCCCATCCCTGGAGGGGCTCAGAAAACGTGTAGGTGTGTCACCTGGGGACATGGTTTGGTTCTCATGGGAGTGCTGGGCTGACAGTTGGACTTGATGATCTCAGAGGTCTCTTCCAACCCTAGTGGTTCTGTGATTCCTGGAACAGAGCTGGTCTCCTGGGCAGTGGAGGGAGCAGCAGCCCCGTGCCCAGTTGTCTCCTTCCTCTTCCCTTTCCCTCTCCAGTCCCCTGTCACTGTGACACGGGCTGGGGGAGCTGTGTGGACTCTGGGTCCTTATTGCAGCATCTTCTGGAGCTCAGGTCCTGCCTAGCTGGGGGTCACCAGTGGGTCTGAGACCCTGCCCTGGCAGCAGCATTGGACCCCTCACCCGTCCTCTCTGCAGGTGGCAACACCTTGGGTTTGCCTCACCTGTCACCTCAGGAAGGTGCCAACTCCATCTGGTGCTGATTGTGGGCTGGATTCTCACCTAACTCCTCTCCTCCAACAGGATCCCCTACGGCTGTCACCTCCTTCCTTCTCACCTCTGTGAGGATCTGGAGGTGGCCAAGACGTGCCAGTGCGGGAGCTCCTGCCTGAGCAGCTTCGTTCAGATCCTGGTCACCATGAACCTCCACCACGTCGCCCACACCGTGGTCCTGGTGGACAACATGGGGGGCACGGAGGCACCCATCATCTCCTACTTCTGCTCCCTGGGCTGCTACTCCCAGTTCCTGGATAGGTACCTGCAGGGTCACAGGTGACCCTCCTTGGGCACCTGCCTGAAGGTCCGTCGGGTGCTGGGGGGGCCTGAGGTTGTTTCCTGCTCGTCAGGGAGAGCAGATGTTGGTGTGGTGGTGAGGGGACACTCGGCCTGGTCCTGGCAGCTCCTCCACCACTGGAATCTCCTTGGTTGGAATAAAAAGTGCTGCGTGGCTTGACTGGAGCTGCCTTAGGGTGGATTTTGTTTTCTTCTTCCTCTCCCTGAGGCTTTGTTGTTGCAGAGCAGCTCAGTAGCCTCCCGTGAGAAGAAATTACAGCACAAACAGCCCAAAAGTGGTCACACCATTCCAGGTGCTTCTCTAAAGTCCTGTTACAGCATCCCCACCCCCAGCAGGGACCAGAGCAAACGGGTTTGGGTTTAGCTCTTTGTCATACAAGAAATGTCTTTTTCTAAATCCGTGACCTGAATTTTTGTTTCTTAACTCCCATGTTTTAAAGATTCTGGAGTTGTTCACTGGGGTGATTTTATTAAACTTTGAAACTCTCCTACGTGCACGTGAGCTGTGTTTTCTCTGAGAGGTTTTTCATGCAGAGTGTTCTGGGATCAGCTCCTGGCCTGTTTCCTGGTGAGGATACCAAATACCTGAGAGTTTCTACACACCCTTGTTCCACCTCTTGCCAGCTGCTGCAGGGCTGTGGAACTGAAACAGCACCCAACGAAACTCCCTGGAGAAGCCTTCAGGCACCCCACGCCCTGGAGCAGGGGTGGCTTGGAGGGAACACGTCAGGCTCTTCCTTCAGAGGCAGTTTTGGGTGCCCAGGGGGGGATGAGACACTTGGCATCCTTCGGGTCACAGGAGACCACAAAGCCAGCAGACAGTTTTCCTGAGGAGCAGGAACCTTCTCTCTAGAAATGCCATCATTAGAACTTCCTGTAAACATCAGAATAACCTGGCCGGGCTCTTTTTGGGGGTGTTGGCACAGCAGGAACCTCTAAGTGACGAGGGGAAGATTTGGATGAATTCTTCCTTGGGTGTTGTCCTTCCCTTGGGGAGGAGGAGGAGGAGGAGGCCACATGTGCCCGATGCTGAGGGCAGCCCTGCAGAGCCAACCCCAGGAGGACCCCGAGGCTCCCGGGCTAATTCCACGGTGAAGATCTCAACCCAGGATGGCTCACATGGAACAACACCTCGAGTGGGGCAGTGAGTGAGAGGACGGGAGGGGAGCAGACAGAACGTGGCCTCCTCTGGGATCCCTCAGGCTGGTTTGAAGCCTCCAGGGCTGGAAGGAAGGGGAGGAAGGGGCAGCTGGCCAGGTGAGGTCCTCTCTGAGCCCTGCTCTGCTGGTCCAGGTGAAGAGGACAGCAACCGGTCCTGGGGTGCAGAGGAGGAACTGTGGGAAGGGGTTTTCCTATGGGAATAGTGTGCTGTCAGCTCTCCTTCTACTGCTAGCCCAGGTGGCCAAGAAGGCCACCAGCATCCTGGCTTGGATCAGCACTAGTGTGGCCAGCAGGAGCAGGGCAGGGATCAACCCCCTGCACTGGAGAGGCTGCACCTCAGATCCTGGGGTCAGTTTTGGGCCCCTCACTCCAGCAAAGGAGGCTCAGGGGAGACCTTCTGGCTCTGAACAGCTCCTGACAGGAGCCTGGAGCCAGGGAGGGGTCGGGCTCTGCTCCCAAGGAACAAGGGACAGGACAAGAGGAAACAGCCTCAAGTTGCCCCAGGGGATGCTGAGGTTGGACATTAGAAGAAATTTCTTCCCCTTGAGGGTTGCCCAGGGCTGTGCCAGGCTGCCCAGGGCAGTGGTGGAGTCCCCACCCCTTGAGGTGTTTCCAAGCCGTGGAGATGTGGTGTGAGGGACACGGGGCAGTGGGGACCTGGCAGGGCTGGGGAATGGTTGGTCTCCATGATCTCAAAGAGTCTCTTCCAACCAAAGCAGTTCTATGATTCCCTGTGTGCCCACCAGCCTGCCATTATCTCTGAAGCAGATCTCATCCCCCAAACTAACTGGGCTTCCCTTAATCCTCTGACACTGCAGCAGCTGACACAGCATCGAGGAGGATGGCTGAGAGAGTTGGGCTTGGTCAGCCTGGGGAGGAGAAGGCTCCAGGGAGACCTTCTGGAGGCCTTCCAGGACCTAAAGAGGCCTGTAAAAAGCTGGGGACAGAGTTTTCAGCAGGGCCTGTTGGGACAGGACAAGGGGTGATGGTTTGGGACTGAAAGAGGGAGATGTAGACTAGAGAGAAGGGAGGAATTTTGGATGCTGAGGGTGGTGAGCCCCTGGCCCAGGCTGCCCAGAGAGGTGGTGGCTGCCCCATCCCTGGAACCATTCCAGGTGAGGTTGGCCGGGGCTCTGAGCAACCTGCTCTAGCTGCAGATGTCCCTGCTCAGGGCAGGGGGTTGGATGAGGTGACTGAAAGGTCGCTTCCCACCCCAACCCTTCCATGGTGC